TAAAAATCACAATAATCATTGTATTATCTTAGTTCAATGTATTATGGTCCTTTACTTTATAACAAGCATTAAAAAATCGGTAGTAGTATCTCTAGTACTAATAGTAAATTTCCTATTCCACCTTAAATGGTACAGCAGTTACATTCTGGCCCCTCAGGCATCCGAACTCCTGCACCATTTAAGGTGGAACATTTGGAAAAACAAAAGGAAAATTTGAATAAGAAGCTGGAGAATATCTGACTTCAGCTTCATATCACTGAAGAATTAGGGATGGGTGATAATAACTAATTGTCATATCCCACCTCTTTGAAGGCATTTGATTCCCTAAATGTAACTAAAGCCCAGAATTGAGGTTGCTAAACTTCACCCTCCTCTGCTCTCACAGAAGACTGGCAGGGTCGCCTACAGAGCAGCGCTAGTAGCCTGTTAATGAAGAAATGTTCTTCTTTATTTGTGGGTTGTGCCATTTCATAGGGGACGATTTCAGACGCACTTGTAACCGTCCCTAAGGGCAAGGGGGCGATGTGACACTCAGGTAGGGGTAAAAATAAGAAGTGGGATTGGGTCTTAGTCCTTATCCTAACCCTAAAACTGTGGATAATCACAAGATAAACTGTTAACAATTTGAGAATCATGGGGGACAATCAAAATAATGTCTGAATGGCTTAACAGTCCGAAACGTGATACACAGAACTGAGTAAAAAGTGCCTCTGTTAGATGTTCTCTGCATTATCACCGTTTTCTGTAATTAATATAACATGTTTGCAGTTTAGCTTTTAAGTGAATTGAACTAAATCTATTGTCAAATATTTGACACCAGCATTAGAGTGACATATAATATAGAGGACACAAACAATGAATTCAGTTCAACAAATGGTTTAAACTACTAAACTAGTCTTTATGCCGGTCGCTTTGTAGATTCACAGACCCAGGCTACACTATGAGTGCAGGGTAAATCGTTCCATGTCCTCAGTGGAAGAGAACAGAGTAGGAAAACAGCACAGTCCTCCCCTCTTTGAAAATCATTGGGTTCACCACTCTTCCAAAATCTGTGATAAGCACACAGCAGCACACAGCTTCAAGACACCTGATATCTTACTTAGAATCTTTTGTTTTAGTTGAAAAAAACAAAACTATAAGTTTTATAGTTTTTTGTAAGATGCAGTTGTTGTTAAGAAGCGCTGGGCTACATTCTTTAATTTGCATCCGTATTTTTAAATAATACGGATTGTTTTACTCACGTGGTCGTCAGTGCTGACCCGTCCACCCACTTCCACTCTCCTTCTCTTTCTTCATCACTCAGACCAATCCAGACATCTCTGCTTCCCTTTTTAATGAACTCCTAGAGGAGAACAGAGTGTGATTAGAATGAGATTTCTATCAGAGTTCAGTTCTTCTCTCTCTCTCCTCACCTGTTCCTCTCTGCTGTTTATGATCACCAGATCTGCTCCTCTCTCTATGCAGTCCTGCCTGGACTTATTCCAGCTCTTCTCCTCAGTAGAGAAGTAGTAATACCTGCTTCCAAATTTCTTCCACCCTTCTACATTGAACATCTCTAGAAAATAAAGTGCAGAGTGATGTTTAGCATTTTGAATCATGCAACACCACTCCAAGCTTTTTTGTTTGTTTATTGTTTTTGATTTTTTCTATGTATATTTTTTTAAGTTGCTGATTATTTCTTACCAGTCACATTGTCAGCACTCATTAGCTTGTCTTTTAACTCATTCATGGTTTTGTTCATCTGGTCTCTCTCCTTAGTCAGATTCTGGTAGCTGCTCTTTAGCTGGTCTCGTTCTTCAGTCAGATTTCTGATACTGGATAAGAGGGTCTCTCTCTCCACTTTCAAAGATAAGACAGTTTGGGACAGACTTTTCTTCTCTTCTTTCACATTAATATCTGCAATTGAGAAAACACGATACACTACATGACTTTTCAAATCCTAGCAGGTTTCAAAAATGGTGAGCATCAGAATTTGTTGCATATTTATTATGAGCATAAAGCAAAATGAGGTTAAGGAAAAAGAGCAGTCAAAATGCACAAAATGCATATTACATGACACAAATAAAACTAAAGTAGGTCAGACCTGTTTCACACAAGAAGAGAAAACACACTTGGGGATATATATGTGGTGAGAAACGTGGTCTGCTGCACATGCTGTGTGCATGCATGTCTTTTCACTTAGTTTTTTCTCTCCTAGGTCATTGGCTGATGCAATGAATCACTCGTTCAATTACATCGCTGACCAGCTCACACCAGGTTAAAAATCTTGAGTAACACTTTCCTTGAACTCTGCTGCATAACCATTCACCCACCAGTCGTATGCTGTCATGAATTGTCCTTTCAGTCCAGATTTTATTCAGTAATATAACACCATTACCTTAAATTGTTATGCCAGATGTCATAATGCTTAATGTCATGACGGCTCGCAAGAGTACATTTAATAAAAAATAAGCATGTGACAGAAGCTGTCATGCCATTAAGTATTATGGCATCCGTCATGACAAATAACAGTTATGGTGACATGACACTGTTATATTATTGAACAGAATCTATTATCACGGCTCCTGACAGCAGGTGGCATCTGCCATGACATGTTTACGGCATGTTTATGCCAATGTTATGTAACAGAGTTTAAGCAAAGTGTAACGAAACTGAATCAGCCACTCGTAAAAAGTGAAAAATTAGGCTTTATTGTTGGGTTTTGGGAAAACTAAAGGTTGGTGAGAGGTCAAAAAGACGAAGACAAAAAGACAAAAATACAAAGTCTAACAATCCAAAGACAAGTTAGATAAACACAAAAGACCAATCAGAAAAACACTCACTAGTTCTCACAAGAAGAAGCAATACCTCGCAAGGAAACTAGTCTAAAAGCCCAGGCTTTATACTAACTCTAACTGATCATAAGACAAAAAGAAACGAACTAAATTAGTATTCAGGTGATTGGAGTGCTGTGGAGGGTCAGCAGTCATGTGATCTCCCAGAGGATTCTGGGAGATGGAGTTCATGGATGCTTCAGAGTCGGAGGGATGTGTGAAATAAAGTGTTACAGAATTGTGTGGTATAGGCTCGGTTTATGGCGGCCTTACACCAGACGACTTTTCAAGCGTTTCACTATCACAGACAAATTTCTAATGTCGGAATAAAATCACGAGAGTCTTGCTCGAGTTGCGACACGCTTGGGTCATCTCGATCGTTTAGCGTAAGGTGGTCAGTATAGCTGTCTTAAGTCAGTCTTTTTCTTGTCTTGTCACTGCAATAAAATCACCCGAAAGCGAGAGAGAGCAAGGAAGAAAAAAATGCATGAGTGCCTGAAGTCTCTGTAAAAAAGGCAAATCTACTCCACTTCAAAACAATAATCATAATAGATTAATAATGTAAACTGGCTGTTTTAATATTTTCAGTTCACTGAGCGTAACAGTAATGTAAAGAAATTTGCAGAGGACTTTAGGAATGGCATTACCAAAGAATCATCTCTGTTTTTTCCATTTTTTACTCTCTGTTACAGTGGTTTCCTTTTTTGTTTGTTTGGTTGTTTTTATGTTTTAGTTCATAACACCCAACCTACAATGATGAATCACTGCAATTTTTCTTGATGTGTAAATCCTTATAGTAAATTCAAAAAATTAAAAACTGCACATTTTGCAGGTTAATGAAAAATATACTGGATGATGGTCTGACAGAATATGAAGTTCTACAGTGAACTGGGCTAAGCAACACGTCTTCCAACTTGTACCACTTTAGAGTGGAGAAAGAAGAATGTTTCTCTTGTAAATTTCCATCAGGTGCATGATGGGAAATAATCTCAAAAATGTAGTTTCTGTCCGTCAAGATTCCCAGTCTATGCAAAATCATAGTCTCTGACTAAAGACTCTGTGACATTAATTTTGTATGTGAGAGCGTCAGACTTTAGTCTTTTAAAAGTCTTTTCAGAGTCTTTTTGAAGTCTTCTATTGTATGGTTAGTGTCAGTCAAACAAATTTTACCCACTTAACGTTCATGTAAATGCTGTTTATTAAATAATGACTATAAGTATCTGATTGGAGAATGGAGGTGTTCATTACTGTTTTTAGAAAAGTAAAAGAAAAAATGCTCATAAGTTATCTGGTTATCATTTTATGCCCTGTTAAGCGTCTCTTTAATGACAGTTTGCATTCGTCACTACAGTTTAAAGAAGATGACAGTATAGCACAAACTGGTGTATTACAAGCATAGACATCCCAAGAAAGCACAGAGCTTCAGAAGCACAATGTGGCTTCATAATGTCTAATGGAAAAGACCAGATATTACTGTTGAAATCTGTGCCCATAAAGTTCAACCACATGACAAACGTCCAGTTGAATATCACTAGTTGCTTCTAACAGACTCTCTTTAACAGGTTTGCACTTAAAATTCTCTTCAAAACTGGATATATTTTTTGAAGTATAGTAGGTTGAGCAGGTCAACAGAAAGCTAACAGGTTAACAGACTAATGGTCCAATAATAAAAGACAAATTCCAAGTTCAAGCCCTTAAAGGAGTTGCAAACTTCTTTAAGTTGTCTTTAAATGAGAGCTGATATTTAAATACAGAAACAGCACTGAGCTAACTCCACAAGCTTGGTGCTAACATAATATGGTGAAAAAATACCAGGGTCACTAGCAGAAATGAGCATCATAGCTGTTTTAGTGAATTAATAGCTATTTATTGGCATACATTCTATGGCTTTGGCTCTCAGTGTAAACAAAAAGTTGAAATGATTTTATTAGAGTGAGTATTTGAAATTGAAGTACTCACAGTACTTGTAGAACACTATGGTGGTGGTCAGCAGGAGAACACACAGCAGTACCACACACACCACAGCCAGTCTGGAACGTCTGGGCCTGGCTTGCAGTCTCCATTCTAGTTCATTTCAAAGGTGTTTGATGGGGTTGAGATCAGGTTTTAGGTTGTTTTTTAGGCTTCAGTAACACTGTAATGAGAGCTGTTGATAAACTGCGTCAAAAATGTCTGTAGGATTCCACTGGAAAAGACTCGGGTCTTGGGGATTCGTTAAAGTCATTTTCTGTAATTTATCTTCTGTAATTTATGTGTTTTAATTTGTTTCTTGGTAAGTTTTGGAAGATCAGTATAGAAACTGTTCTATAGGTATTTTTGTATTGTATTATAATCTGGAATAAATATATATCAATATTCTATGCCCTGTGTACCTTGCATCTCATTTGTGTACCTCAGACTCACAATTGCATACATGGAAATGTGTACAGTGTATATCATAGCTTTAATTTCATAACTTATATTGCTATTATATATTAATATTATATTTAAAGTCTAATACACATATATATATATATATATATATATATATATATTATTTTGTATATTTAAGTACTTTATATTAAGTACTATATTTAAGGGGGATATGCACCTATGATTTTCACTCACCTTAACACCTGTATAATTGTGATGTGACAATAAACTTCATTTGATTTGATTTGTTTTTGTTTAGCCACATTTCCCTGATTTGTTACCATATTTACATTTCCTGTGTTGGAGTCTTTGTATCTTACATTTTTAATAGGAAATCATTTTTTTCTTGTAATTCAGCTTTCCCCATTTCCCGAAGTAATGTAGATGATATTTCTGGTGAGGTGCTGTTTTCTAAAAATAACTTCACTATTTTCACAAAATAAATAAAATGTGTCACTCGACTAGGGGTGCTGAAATTCTGCGTACGGCATATGGATGTTCATTTTAATATAGCTTAATTACAGATGTTCTACAGCTTTCAGAGTCATTACAGAATCTTCTACAGCTCTGTTCATCACTGTAGACACATATAATATTTCTTCATTTTTATTTCCAGATTTAATCATTAAATGTCGGCCTGATTATTTGAAGTTGTACAGGACTGGCATATCAGAACCATTTTTCCCGCTTGTCTTCAACTAAATTGATCTATTATATTGTAAACAGTGGTTCCAGACTTTTGAATTGTAGTCTACAGTGGTACAAAAGTGTGACTTTTGTTGATTTTCTGAGTGAAAATAAGTTAACTCATCCTCCACAGAGAGGCACTTCTGCACTTTTTAATGCACAAGTACTGGTTATTTGATGAATTTAACGTGTTGGAACAAAATAGATCATAAAATGTGGCCTGTGCAACATTGTTGATGTTCTGTTTTATTTTTCCTCAGCATATAAATAGAAATTGTGCACATAAATTAGCATAAAAATATATTTTTAAAGTAGGTTCTGTTACTTATTATCACTAAGAAAATCAATATTTCATAAACATCTCATTTGACCAGGGCCGTTGAAACATTTGCATAGAGCTAAGTGTGCATGTTGCAGTACCTGTGTTCTCTGTCCTCGTCCTCGTCCTTGTCGTCTTGTTTGCGTAGATGTCCTGACCTCTGACAGCGCTCGCTTTGTAAAAGGTCTTCTCCCGGGCCATCTCGCTCAGCTCAGTGCTGTTCTGCTCTACACTGCTCTCTGCACTTACTACATACTATGCCGTCACTTGGGCAACAGCAGTTTCAGATAGAATGAAACCATTTTTTTAACACCTCTATTGGCAGTAATAAACAGGAAACTGTGGCTTTGATTTGATATGAAGATAGACATGTATATGTGTGTGTGGAGATACATGCAAAGTTCATAAGGAAGCTATGAAAGCTTCTGATCAGTCAAAAAAATTAATCCCTGTAACATTCCAGGCTTATTACACACTAAGGCTTATAATTCGGTAACTACAGGGACTTCAGTGCAAACTAATGGAGCTATTCTTAAGTAATAAAACTTTGGTTTGTTAAGGGGTTAAGTTCTCTTGAGTTATGCTGTAAAAGTGATATACATTAGATTAATACAGCAGTACATCCAGAGTCATACAGTAGAAGTAATATACAGAACATTAATACAGCAGACCTAGAATCATACATGTAAATGTAATGCATAACAGTAATTTGCAGTAACATACAGAATGTTACACATTTGTTTAAGCAAGTAGCCACATGAAATGCATTCAGTATTATTTATTTTAATGTGAATACGATTACTTAGGGAATTTAATTCTAAAAGATAAATCAATTAAATATCCAACTTCTGTTCAATATCGCATGCTAAAAATACCAGGCTTATCAGCAAAATCAGATCATTTTAACATAGTACAAATAATTTGCTGTAGTTTTAGTTTACATAAATGCTATATGTCCAAAACTATCAGACACCTCTTCTTATTAGTGAATTCAGATTTTAAGGTGAATCCACTGCTTATATTCTCTGTAGGAAAGCATTGCTAGAGCTAAGTGCTGCTAGAAAATAAACGTTCCAACACTAATTGTACTCAAAGGATTATGGGTGCACAATAGCTTTTTATTATCCAGGTGGTCCTAGAATGTTTAAATTCAGTGTATGCTTCTGTTTAATAGGTGATACACAGCCATTGCACCACTCGGTATACAGGAAATTACATTAAAGCCTTTTGCCAGTATGTTTTGCCTGCATTATAGTGATTATAATGCATTGCTTTCCATATACATTTGTATGCAAAAGTCTGTGCACCCCGATCAAATGACATGCTGTGCTGATTTTCTAAGTGAAAATGTTTTGACACATTCTCTACAGAAAACACACTTATGCACATTTCGATGCATTTTAATGCTTCACATGTTTGAAGAAAAAAAAAACATAAAATGTAGCTTATACAGATTTGAGCCTATGCAATAGTTTGGCATATATGGCATTTTATATTTTATGTTTTATTGTTTTCCACTTTGTTAAGTTTTTCACTCAGAAAATCAACAAAAAATTGACCGCAAACTTTTGCATATGACTGTAGTTATTTAACAATAAGTCTTATATGTAATAAGATAAAAATATATAAGGAGAAAGGGGGAAATAAGGGATTTTAGGGGTTTTTTAGTGGTTCTATTTCTAGGTGGGTGGCGAGTGATTCAAGATTCTTTTATCTTTCAACATGATAACGACTGAAAACACTCTGCCAGATAGAAGGTGTGTTAACAGAACTCTCGCTGTTAGAAAATGCTCATCCCAGAGCTCAGCAGATTGCTGTGGGCAAAAGATGGTCACCAAATCTGGGGCACTGGCTGGTCATGTAAAGATTTGAGGCTCAGCCCACGTCACTGTAGGATTATTTATATAATTTTTTTATTAACCTGTAAAGTGTGCATTTTTTACTTTATTTTAAATGATATAAGGATCTGTGCATCAACAAAACTTGCAGGAAATCACAATTGAAGATTGCCGTGTCTTGTAGACATCATAAAAACAAGAGAAAAGAAAAAAGAAAATAAAAAAGGTTAAAAAAAAAACATCCAGATATGTTTCCTCGATAATGCAGTTCTAAAAATATCCTCTGCACGTTTACTCTTCATTTACATCAGCCGTATCTTCTCCCAATTGTTCTACTAACACAGAAACAGTTTATTAGTAATTTTTATATTTTTACTCAGGTTCATGATAAATGCTACATTGTGAAACAGTAAAACTGTTCTTAAAACCAAACTAATGACTAATATAAAAAGCACACTAAAACAAACCACTCAGTTCGGGTAATTTGAGTGTTGTGACTAACAGTTCAGAGGTCTATCTTACCCAAACCCAACACAGAGCCCAGGCCAGTTTTCCTGAATGTATTCAAATATTTAATAAAATTCTGATTGTTCTTTAGACAGGATGAATTCTTTGAATGCCCTTAACAATTAACAATTCTTACTCATTGGTTACATGAGTACATTGGTACACATCTAATATGTTTTTGCTATTTTCAGTAACTATTATGAAATAAACTGTTTATATTGTTGTACTTGTTTTGCGAATTGTGTTATTTTACCTAAAGAATAACCTACATAATAACCTTGTTTTATTATTAACTACCACTTCAATAGATAGCAGTTAACAATTTAGGTAATTTAGGTAAAACTAATCTAAATTACTTACTAAATAAGAATTCATCTAAAGCATTTTATATTATAGATTATATATTTTTTATCTACTGTATAGATTTGATGTTATGTAAATATGTTCTTCTTAGAACTTTTTCATGAGATTTGGTAACTTTAGAACTTCTGCTTTTAAAAAGAAAGTAGTAGAATTTAATTACTCTAATAATAAGTAATCTCAACCATAAATGATAATGTAAGGAGGGGTGTAAATGGGGAACAAACAAAATGTTAAAAATGATTAAGGGTTGTTCTTGAATTTTACATCAAGTTTCATTCTGTCTTTTTACAGCTTCTTCATTCACACAATTATTAATAAACCAATTTTTCTTCAGTTTTTTATTCAACTCACTCTCTCTCTTCTTTACTTTGAGCACTCTACTGCAGCAGAATGTCATGAAGGCACTCTTTATTAATATCTGCATTACCAGAATTACACAGGAAACATGGAGGAGCGCACAGAGGTTACTGAAATGTGTGCGGCTTTGGGTTGATCAAAAGATAAAGATGTTCGTATGTGTGACAGTAGAGTGAGCAAAGCTGTGGCTGAGGAGGCTCTTTCAAAGCTGGCATATGAGTCAGAAGCACCTGTTTGTATGGAAGTGAGTCAAAATATAAATGAAGATGTAAAGAGAGTAAAGAAGTCTTTACTGAAGTGTGTAATGGCAGTATTCCTGCTTCTTCAGTAATAATCAGTTTTTAGGTGAAATTGACATTGATCAGGCATAATATTATGTCCACCTCCTTGTTTCTATGCTCATTGTCCATTTTATCAGCTCCACTTACTATATAGGTGCACTCTACAATTACAGACTGTAGTCCATCTGTTTCTCTGCATACTTTATTAGCCCCCTTTTACCCTGTTCTTCAATAGTCAGGACCCCCACAGGACCAGCACAGAGCAGGTATTATTTAGGTGGTGGATCATTCTCAGCACTGCAGTAACACTGATGTGGTGGTGTGTTAGTGTGTGCTGTGCCGGTACGAATGGATCAGACACAGCAGTGCTGCTGGAGTTTTTAAATACCTCAGCGTCACTGCCGGACTGAGAATAGTCCACCAACCAACAACTTCCTGTGGGCAGTGTCCTGGGACTACTGATGAAGGACTAGAGGATGACCAACACAAACTGCAGCAACAGATGAGCTACTGTCTCTGACTTTACATCTACAAGGTGGACCAATAAGGTAGGCGTGTCAAAGAACTTGTTCAACCTAAATCTGATTTTTGATATATCTAGATTGATTTTTGACCATCTTGACAGCAAAAAAAAAACATATGAAATCCAATTTTTGCAAATCAGATGCAAACCACATTTGGAGGTGGTTTGAAATGCGATACTGAAATGCTCCAATTGGATTTTTACAGATGCATCTCAGTCTGGATGCTCTGGCCGCTCAGATCGGATTTCAAAGTGGCCTTTGCATCACTCACAACATGACATGTGATCTTGCACCATTGTTAGACACAGCTTTTAATCATTTTCTGAACACCAGGTAGTGAAACAGTATAGAGAAAAAGATCTTGATTCACATGAATGAATAATTCATTATAAAATTGTGGTGGGTGAGATGTCGCTTAAGGTCCCTGAATGTTTAGAAAAGGACCTGCAAAAAGATTCTTTGTTGAAGCAGACTAGACAAGTGACTAAAAAGTAACTCCATAAATGACCCGTATTTTTAACCATAAACAAATGATACTTGGTTAAGTATTTCTTGTCTTGTTCAATGCAGATTGGGGATGTTTATTATGAGTTCATGTCAAATGAATAAGCATTAGATAAAACTTAGAAAGTAAAAGAAACAGAAGAAAATGAATGAGCAGTCTGAAAATTGTCCTCTACTTAATTACACACCGAGTCATCTTCTCACATATCCAGGTGTGCAGGCGGTCACATCTCACTTTTTTCCAGTTGAATAAAGGATCATAACCATTAGAGGCTACCTGCACACAGTTCTCATGTATGAAAGTTCCAGAGTTCCAGTATGTATAATAATTTGGTTCTCCTCTCATCCAATACCTAGAACAACACACAGAGACAAATATCCAAAAACTATGAATGAGAATGCTTTTGTGATGTCACAGAAAAATCAGTGCATTTACACATATCTGCCTATTCAGCCTACAATCTACAATGGGCTTTGCCTATTCACACTGAAGTTAAAAGGAGTGTCACAGCCTGGACTCCATTTCAAATAAGGTACAATAGAAGGCAGCCAATCAGAATAGAGGTCATTTACATATCTCAGCCTTTAAGCCACAGTAATAAAAACAGCCTGTTTGAATCTTAAGAATGAAAAGAGGTCACTGTTTTTGGTATATAAACCCACCCAAATGTCATAAATGAACCTCAGGAAAAAAAAGAACAACGACAACATGTGATATGGGCCCTTACAGTTCTTAAACCAGCTTTGTCAGTACCTTGGCGCCCTCTACTGGCTTTGCATGCCTGTATCATGGTGATAAATTGGCTTCAGACATCAGGGAACATACAAGAACATTACATATTTACAATAGAACATGACAGCATGACCACCAGCATGATATCCAATAGGGAAGCAGGTATTGTTTGGAATTACATTCAATGATGAAAAGCAGTCAATTTCATAACAAACAGCAAGAAACCAGAGCTCAGTACTTACATTACAAATGCATTATGTTACTGATTAGAACCTAAATCTGTAATCTGATTGGTAGTCACCTGATTACGTTGACAGAATGTGTATACATACGTTCATATAACCAGGTTCATAGTTAACATTTTTAATTTATTAGTCTGAAGGACAAATCTTGGGCTTGCAGTTTGATCTTAGCTTACCCAGATATTGGCAATGTGCCGTCCACCCATTTCCACTGCCTCAAACGGTCACGGTCAGTCAGACCAATCCAGAAGTTGCTTGCCAGTCCAGAAACAAAAGTCTTAATGGTAAAACAAAATACCTTAAATATTTTACACACATCTAGAGTACTACTCATATTCTCTTCTCACATCTACAGGTAATGCCAGGCAAGGCAAAGCAAGCTTATTTATACAGCACTTTTCATGCACTCCGGTCATTCAAAGTGGTTTACAAATGATAAAGTGCAAAGATAATTCAAATGAAAATTAAAAAGGTGTAGGAGATTTGAAATTAAAAACATGATTCTAATGTTGAAATTAAACATTAAATTAAATATTAAATTAGCATAAGAAAGTGCCATTACAGAGGAGAAAGGTTAGAAGAGTTAACAGTGTTTTAAAAGGAAATGAAAGCTGCTCAAATAGGGACATTTTGAGCCTGGATTTAAAAGTGTCCAGTGTCGGGATTCTCCAAATACTCTCTGTCACCTGGTTCCATTTAAAAGCAGCATAGTAGCTAAATGCTACTTCACCTTGTTTAGTCTTTACCTTAGACTGCACTAACTGACTAGATCCTAATGATCAGCCCATTTTGCTGCATTTTGCTTACATTTCTCTGGTAATTCTAATTCAGGGGCGATATATATAGGTCATTGTGTCAACCAATGGCAAATATAGCACAAAGTTTCTTTACATAATTGCACTCGGGATTGTAAATATGTTAAAATCAGTAAAAAAAAAAATGTAAGATCTGTAAATTCATCAATAAAATTAGCATTGAACTTCAGAAGCCTGTAGACAATTACTACTAATTTTCTTGGTTCCCCTTTTAGAGCCACACAGAGATTCTCAAAGGATGTGAAATCACCCAATGACAACTGCTTGCACTGGAAAGAATTATCTAAATATAATTCTAAATATAAATATAAGTTCACCCTCACCTGTTCCTCTCTGCTGGTGATGATGACCAGGTCTGCTTCTTTTCCTCTGCAGTCCTGTCTGCCATGATCCCAGGTGTTTATATTGTGGGAAACGTAGTAACAGCTGGACTTAAACCTTCTCCAACCATGTGGACACAATATTTCTGAAGGAAAGTGAATTTAAAGTAAAAGGGGCAATACGGTCTGAAACTAGCTTTTAATATGTTATTTGTCATGTTATGTTATATTCTGTCATGTAGCATTGTAACCGTCAGTATCATCAGTTTGATGGAATTTGCAAACTTGTATCCATTTTTGTTTTTTTGTCCATTGGTGTTCTCTCACTACAATACCCACCGTGCATTATACAAATACGTCACACATCCATTTCTGGTTCTGACCCGCCATGTCAGAATTAAGAAATAAATGAGAACATCAAGCAAATCCACAGACTAAATGCTCTCCATTGCCAACACATCACTCATGTTCAACAGGAATGGCGATATTTTATACATCACTTACTTGGAAATTACTTGGGAAAAAACATGGTCACTTTTTCTCATATTTTAGTTTGAAACATTTGAAACAACTTCAAACTTTAAAAGAACATTTTTCCCTACTTTTTTTTATCTAGCCCCTTTACAATGTTAGAAATAAAGGCACTGTGCAGGTACATTTTTCGTTCATCAAGGTACAAACAATGTAAATGTTGTGGTTTTACCAACAGTGGTTTTAAGGCCCAACTGTGTACCTTCAATAAGTTTTTCCAGGTGAAAATTACATATTTGTACCTTTTCATAACCTAATGTTTTAATACAGAACAATAAAATAGAAAGCCTGGAGACGGGACGGGGTGTGTGGAGTCAATACAACTTAAAAAATATCATTTCAATGGATTATGGTACAATTTTGTTCCCTGACTAAATGTAATGAGATGTGCCCTTGAGGGTACCACCCCAGTGACAGGATGGGTACTGACCCAGTGATGGTTTCTTACCTGTTTTTCTGAGAGTGTAGAGACCACCTGGCCAGTGCCCCCCCCCCAGTAATATTAGTTTAGATCCCTGCTCTAGAGACTACTGTGGTGCCATAGTAACAAGCAAGTAGGGTCGTTCACAAAAGATGAAGCAATGGTTACATTTTACATTTTGGCCGGAGTGCTCTTCAGGGCCTTTCTTGAAAGTTTTATTTCAGGTTCATTATCAGAAAAATCAAGCATGGTTAAATGAATGCATGAAGGATGAGCTCATTATGCGCAAATGTATAAAAAAAAACCATTTTAAATACATATGAGATACATTTCACCATTGGCTGTGGTCTAATTTACAGGGGGGCAACCCTACTCGTGGAGTTCCACTAGGCTTCAAAGTGTATTTCCAACATTTGTAGCCCTCATTAGTAGAACATGTGTTGGGTTAGTATTACGACAGGTTCCTTAAATGTTCAAGCCTAATACTAAACATTACCAGAGAATCAGCAATGTCTCTGAACTCACCAATGTTAGAAAGCTGTCTCTGAAGTCCATCTCTTTCTATGGTCAGATTGTCAAAGCTGGCCTGTAACTGGTCTCTCTCCATAGTCACGTTGTTGAACCTGTTCCATAACTGCTCTTTCTCTGCATTATGTTTTGTACTCAGGCCCATAATAACAGCCAGCAGGAGAACACACAGCAGCCCCAGACACACTGCAGCTGGCCTACCAGAGCGCACCTGCTTCCCCTCAGAAACAGCCTGAGAACCTGGAAGAGTCACAGTAGCAACATAGTTAGACTTCCACTACTGCTTTTCAGATTCAAGATAAAGATATTTTGGAGCTGATAGAGAAATGGTAATGGGGGATGGGCTACACATCGCCTGCAGCTTTAAATTCTATGTTTTACTCAAACGCTCCAGAGCAGTGGTCAGAGATAAAGCAGAGACACTAGAACCTACACTAAACTTTAAGGTTTACCAAAAAAAATGTACATATACTCACACATTTCCCCTTATTACAAACATAGTAAACTGTCCGAGTCATGTTTGGTATCTGAAGTTTGCTTCCTTTCAAATACTAATCATGTCTTGGCTGATCTACTATGTCTGGTGTACATTTGAACCACTCCATTAAGGAGTGTGATTTGAACATGATTCAGTGTTTTCTATGAATTCATATTTACCTGCTTTCGGTGTTGCTGTATCTGCAAAGAAGTTCTCATAGACCTCACTGTGATTGGCCCCATTGTCGTCTACATTCATGTAGATGCTCTCAGAATCTTCATCTTTCCTAGTCTCCATGTGGACTGTTACACGCAGAATGAAACTACCGCTTTCCTGTCAGCCCGTTTATGACGGTCATGTCATGTGCTTCTAAGCGTAGCCTATTCCTCTAAGAAAGGCATTAAATGTTCCCATTGCTGTGTTAGTGAAACTTCTCCAAATTGAAGTTTGGCTTATTTTGCTTGCACGTCATTGAGTTCCCTATAGAAGTGCAGTGAAACATCACAGAAACTGGAGATGGTTAGCCTGCATCCTTGTGTTTTGTTCTAAAATAAAATGATAAAGGCTTAAAAGTGGGAGCCCTGAGCAAAAATAAAGCAAAGCAAGTGCTGCCCCTATGAGAACAGAATAAAGCCACCTTCAAAAAGGAGTTAGCAGCTAAATGTGAATGACTAGTGATACTGAGTAAAATGTAGATGAAAAAATGTACTTATATGGAACTGAGTATATATAACAAGAGCAATTTAGTAAATGTGGTTCATTGTGTTTCTTTTTGTTGTTGCTAGTCATGCCTTTAGCTTGCTAACTAGCAAGCTAACGGAGTACGTGATGAAGTTGTATCAGCAGTCATGTATAACAGATGGACCTTAGTTTGCAAATCGAATGTTATGGCTGTGAAATATTAAGCATTTGAAAGTACTGTATTGCTATTGCTGCTTTATATGCCATTTTTTTCAGGTTTTAAAAGGGAAAAGCACTGGATCGCAATGATTTCTGGACAAGCCGCTGAAGTCGAACAATTGTGTTCACTCGGCTCTTCATCCCTCCAAAGGTTCATCTAATTTTATCTAGCCTTATTTGAGCTAATAAAGCGACAGAACAGCCCTTATGTGATGTTTCTGCATCAATAAATCATTAAAATGTAGGCATTTATGGTGGGTTGGTGTGAAATGTGCCACCGCTGTAAAGAAATCTGAGTCTGTAAGTTTCTCTGCAATGAACCATTTCACTCTATTGACTCTGTTTATATCTAAATGATAGAGTTGTGCAGAAATGAAAAAAAAAACAAAACGGTGGAATTCCACTTTAAGATGGCTTCAGGGATTCCCCAGAGGGGACAAGGGCATGTTAAAATGAGTATCTGAACTGGTGGCAGATAAAGTGGGATGAAAGCCTTAAGTTATATTGATCTTGACTAACAGAAGTCAATCTAACAAACCTATTAGTTATAATTACCACAAGGGTGCTGATCATTCAGCATGTTTTTTATTGGACTGCCATTATGGATAGTTTCAAAATCATACTTTTTTTACTTGATAAATTGGGTTTTTAGTACCCACTTCTGCTGAACTCTTTTGTGATGTAGTTATTTATCATACTTTGAAGAGTATCCATGACCAACGTTTTAAAGATTATGTTTCATACCAGGCCTAATAATGTCTGTATGAATGCAATAACACTAGGTTAATTAATGGTGGCCTATCTTACTGAGGCCTCTATAGCGTGATGTGTCCCAGTCTCCATCATATCCAAATGAAAACCATATTCCAAGCAGTTTTAACACTTTTACATGAACCAGGCTTGTGACAGCTCACAAAACACAACATAAATAAGTTGATTTTGATCGATGAACCCTTTTATAGGTTCCCTTGGACCATTTACCACAAAATAGCCCACTTCTGCTGAATTCACCGTAGTGGATCTACAAACCCGCGCGTCACCTATAAAGCAAACCAGCCCGAAGCGCGCTCCCGGGCGACCTGAGGCGCGTTCACGTGGAGTCCTTCTGCGCGCGTGATGTCTCGCGCAGCGGTGGCGCTTGGGCAAATCGAGCTAAGCTAGCTAACGTTTCTGACTGCTGATATATGTTTCGTTTTCAGGTAAGTTATTCACTGCTTTTTGTGTTCGTCTTCGCACTGTGGATTTTAGCCTAACGTGTTAGGAGGCACGACTCTGAGTCGTCTGCGGACATTTTTTGTATAAATTGGGTCGTTGTTTATCGACGCGGCCAGCTACCCGGCTAACGTTAACGGCTAGCCGAGTTTTGTCTGAGGCCTAACGTTAGCGAAGCTGTGACACACACATCGCTATCACCAGAATTACTGAAGTACAACGGGTGAAACTGAGTTATAGCACTGAATGTAGAATGTGTTATCAAGGCCAGGTAGTTCTTTGTGTTTGATATGCGGTATTAGCATTTAATGCTGAAACTAGTTAGTAAATTAGCTAGCTGGCTAACTAAGAGTTACTGTTGGGTAACTAGATCCTAGCTGACTAGCTAATGCAGTCTTTCTTAGGTTATATTGTGAAAGCGTGTGGAAATTTTAAAGTCAAGCCCTTATAAAGTCAAATTAGTATGTCTACTCTCCTCTCGCTTCGTGTGGTTGTTCAACCTTTTTAACATGTACGTCAGTTACTCAACTCTAGTAGTTGCATTGAGATTTTCTTCCTCCTCAGAAACCTTGCCACTAGACTCATAAGTTACTAGCATGGCGTCAGCTAGATTTCTCATCTATAAAATGTTTTAAACTAGATTCAGTATTCTTTGCAGCAGTAGATAAGTTACTCAGGGTTTGCACTGCGGCTACATTTTGTTTACCAGCGACGAAATTGGATATGGTGGTCTTGACCTAGAAAAGCTGCCCAGCTCAAACCCCTGCAGACCCCACTGCTTTGTGCTTAGCTGCTCTGACACATTTCTATTCCAGCTCCTCTTTTCTAGTTCACCGATTGCTGTCCTCTTTGATTGATATCTGCATTTTTAATCCTGCTCTTGTGCTTAATCTCGATTTTATTTCTGTCTGGCTTCAGTCCTTTGATGATGATTGCACCCTGGAGGAGGAGGAGGGACTGGTAGAGGAGGAAGATGAAATCGACCAGTTTAATGATGACACCTTTGGGGCTGGGGCAATTGGTAAGTCTGCGGCGCTTTTGCAACCCTGGCAGCCCTTGGGAACGTGCTTTGAGCGTTGTGTTTCACCAGTTAATAACTTGATTTGATGTGAAATTTCAACTATGCATAAAGCCATTTGTCCAAATGAGAGATTCTGTTGGAGATCTTACAGAGCCTAGCTTGTGTTTGACAGGTTTCTGTATTAGTAAATACAACTGCGGATACCTTGGTGTCCATGGTAATTATAGAACTAGTAACATATTTCTGAGCTCATGATTGCTGTGCTTATACTTTGAATATAGTGGCTGATGCTAAACTAACATTATATTACCTATGACTATTACTGGTATCCAAAAATAGCATGATTTGCTATTGGTCATTATGAAGTACACAGCACTACGTACATGATTCAGCTCAACTGCTGTTCTTTAGAATGATTGGTATCAAGTTCCTTATTGCCTGTCCATAAATTAACCTCACAGTTGCCCTACTTATTGTATAGTATTAAGTGCCCCACCCCCTCTCCTTTGCCCACAGACGATGACTGGCAGGAGGAGCATGCCCGGCTGGCAGAGCTGGATGAGCGGGTGCGGGATGGGCTGCTGGAAGGCGGTGACGCCTCTGCCTCAGCCCGTCCTCCTCCTGCGGACAATGCGACCCTCCGCTCCACCTTCCCTCCATCCTCTTCTTCCTCACTCCCTCCTCCTGGTTTAGAGGAAAAGGCTGGGGGTGACCTGGCCGAGTCACTGACTCTCCTCATCCTGGGCTCTGATCCTGCCATCGCCGGAGTGGGTGCTGCAGAGCCGGATAGGTCCAGCCTCCGGCCATCTGCGCCTCCCAGCCAGGCACTGCCTTCACCGTTGAGCAGAATGCCCACCTCGTTGCTTAGCTACCAGCAACAGCAGCACATGCTGCATAGAGGGGCCGCACCGCTGCAGCAGGTGAGCTCGCAGTTTTACTTATTTAGGCCTGTCTTCCTGTCTTCAATTCAGATATATATATATAAAGTATGTATAATCCTGTATAAATATGACTGACTTATTTTTTTTCCATCTGTATTTATCTTTTCTTTAATAGATGAACTCTCACAGTATTTGGGAGAACAGTATGGGTTTTGGACCTGTTAGTGTTACCCCTGGGCTTGTCCCTCACATGGAGGTACAACACCCTTTAGAAATATGTCTCTAGTATTTGTTTCTGAGGTCTGGTGATGTTTAAAAGTTATACATTTTTTTCTATTACTGTGTGTTACATGTTGAACTTTTAAAATACATTATGCAGATACATCAGAGCATAAGCTTCTATGACATTCAAGATCTTGACAGTTTTGTTGTTGTTGTTGTTGTTTTTATAAGATATTTTATTCCCTAGATCCCCTTTTGTCCCTTAAAGTTTGCCTTGTTTTTGTTTACTAGTACTGATTTTTTTTTTTATATATATATATATATATATATTCCCCACCCTTTCATAGGACTCACCACTACTGTCCATCATCAAAGAGGTGGGGCTTCCAAAACGGACACCTCAGGTCAACAGGGAGGATGGTAGGGATTTGTCTGAAAGAGTACCGCCTCCTCGTTCCTCTTCACCTGTGATTGGAAGTCCACCAGTAAGAGCAGTACCTATTGGAACCCCTCCTAAACAACCCATGGGACATGCCCTGAATCAGCAGGTACATGAGCCATGGTTTTGAGCTGCAGGATATCTTTATGATCTAAGGTTTCTCAGTCTATTTTAGTGTTTATCAGTACTTATGAATTTCACGCGAATGATCATTGTTATAATTGGATAGAGCTGAGTGTAGATCAGTATGGTGTTCTCTCTTGCCAGATTCACCATCCTACTGCTGTGCATGTGAGAGCTCCAGTGCCACACCGTTATCCCCATCCCTTCCCTGAGCGCCTCTCCCCCAACACCCTCCTCAACATTGCTGTGAGTGCCCCTGAAGCACCCTGTCGTCTCCTTTCCCACTCAAATTTAGTCCTTCTTTATCCCTCTTCTTTTAGATTTTAGTTGGTAATCTCTTGTTCTGACCACTTGACAAACAAGGGGGTAAAAACATTTTTTACATTCCTTTCTTTTTTCTCTCTCTTGCACACACTCAGAACTCTCCATTATGTCGTCCTCCCTTCCCTGCTGGAGTCGGTCCAGTCCTGTCTCAGATCCAAAGGGCCCAGTTGCTTAACTCTCAGGTAAGGCTCAAGTTATGAAATGCAGATTGCTTGGATATACACTTACCAACCATTTTATTAGAAACACCAAACTTATTGCACCAGCCACATTGAGATCTTCATACTAGGCTTGGGCAGTTTTCATCCCTTCATACCTTCCTGTCATTTCACCAAGGTATATGGTATATGATAGTATTTGAATTAAAAGAAAACTAAAAAGGGAGGGGGAGTTAAAAATGAGCTTGAAGTCACTGTCATATGTGTAACACTAGCCTACAGTGTTGTGTATCTAATATGCAATTAGCCTACTTGTCCAGTCTTTCTGGGTTAAAATACTCATGGCCCGTCGAATAATGTATAGATATGAAATGAGCACACTTCTTCCATGGATTCAGCGTACCTTGCTGGAGGGCTAAATGGGAGTGCAGGTGGTAGTGGCGGATGAATAAAATAATGTGGCTAATAAACTGCTTTTGTAGTTGGAAACCTCATCTCAGGATAAAACTATATGTGGCAGTATTTGCATAATTACATCTGTATTCATATTTAATTGATTAAGTAGGTGAGCCATAGAGCAGAAATGACCTAATTTAAGTGAAACTGCGTTAACCATTATACACTGTAAACTCCGCAACTGTCTGTGAGTAAACGGGTGTGCAGTTTTCTAGTAATCATTCAATAAGTGTGTACCATATATTGAACTGTTGATACAGTGCTGCTGACAAGGGACGAGCTGGTTCACATTCATTGCTAACAGCCCTGCCCACCACAGAACATGTTCGATTCTGGTTAACTGTTAACTAAAGCAAATTTAGATGATGTAAAAATAGTGATTTATAATAGTGTGTGGAAGAGTGATGTCAAAGGGATAGAAAGGCAAAAGAAAACCTGGTTTGTTGTGGTTGGATTTTATTCTTAGCTTAGCGAGCAGCACACAGACACAAACAGTGCCACCCATCACAGTTGGCCTGATTCTGAAAATTGGTGCTCTGTTTACACAAATTTAGATGATAATGTTTGAGAGAGGAAAGTTAGTGACGATAAGCCAAAATAGGAGGCGTTCTGTGGTGTGTGCAGAGAATGTGCAGCTACTTGCTGGGGCTGAGTTCGTTACAGAGTTCCAGCCTTGAGCTCATCTGATACACACAATTTTTCAGCTATCCTGTAAAAGTATGAATGCCTTTGCTAGGTTGAGAATGGCCAACCGAAAGCACTTCTGTGGTCAGAAACTGCCAAATAATGACATGCTGGAGCAGGGGTGCCCAATCCGAGTCCTGGTCTTGCACGTTTTAATTACCAGAATACGGCATTTAGGGGCATCTGACTGATCGAGCCAGAGTGATCTCCAGGGCAAGGATTGAGAGTATGGCTTACATCAGTGGTTCTCAAACAGGTCCTGGTGGCTCCACATTAATGCTTGATTCCAGTACATAGTGAGTTGTAGTCTGTAAGTCTACACTTGCAGGCTTGATCTGTAAGGCAGGAGTAATTTGTACCCTATATTTTCAGGTTTAACTGAGATTATATGTCTAGTACAAGGCTACAATTACAGCACTAGACAGAATACATTGAAGTGATCTTTTCACTTCTTTCTCTCTCTAATTTTGTAGGTCGGACCTTTCCCAAGGGGTCCTGGTCCGGCTCCCCCAATGTTGGCAGGTGGGGGTGGGGGCTTCAGGCCATTTTTTGGACAGCCTCCTCCTAGGGTGGGCCCCCATGGACCTCATCCCCCTCCTCCTAACCACGCCCCTATCCGGCACAACACTACTCACCTCCATCCCCAGCACCGTAGGATGCTCACCCAGAGGATGCAGAGCAGAGGGTGTGTGCATCAGTACTTCTGTCAGCTGTCTTTCGTTAATGTTTGATGTTGACTGCTTTTCATTTTTAGTTATAATTCATGCATGGAACAAAATATAAGTTGCTTTATGTAGTATCATACTGCCCATCAGTGATCGTGGTGGAGGAAGAGGAGGAGGAGGAGGTGGTGACAGGAGAAGTAGGGACCCCTACAGTAATCTAATGACTCAGAAGGAAAAGGACTGGGTGGCTCGCATTCAGATGATGCAGCTCCAGAGCACTGACCCTTACCTGGACGACTACTACTACCAGGTTTGTACATACACACCCACTTTGCTGCACTGTCAGCACTTTCAGCCCCCAACCCAGCCCCCCCTCACTTGAATGCCCAGAGCTTCATTAGTTTTGGGCTGACATTACAATCACCTTCATCCTTAAAGGGATAATGCTAACCATTGATACTAATAGAGATGATGTTGAATGCTTAGAATTATTATGAGAAGATGGAGAAGCGCCAGGAGCGAGACAGAGACAGCAGCAGAAAGGAACACACCACCAAACTCATCACGCCTCAGGTGGCCAAGCTGGAGCACACCTATCGACCAGGTAAGCACACCTAATGGCGGTCACCAGTGGTAGGTTTCACAAAAATCCATTACTTGCGTGGCAGAAACATTTGTGCTGTAACTTACTGACGGGTGTGACAGTTACATTTGGTTGTGTATATATTCATAAAATTATTTGAGAAAGCACAGTATATGTATGTTGTTAGCTGACAAAAGAGAAACATCAACGTAACAGGTAAATGCAGAATTAAATATGTGTGTGTTTGTGTCTGTCTTATAGTCCAGTTTGCTGGTTCCCTGGGTAAACTCACTGTCTCTAGTGTGAACAACCCCAGGAAGATGATAGATGCTGTGGTAACTACTCGCACTGATGATGAGGTAAACTTTTTTTCCTCCCTCTACAGCATAAATATATATTTGCTCTCTTCTGTGAACCTAATGTGCCTTGCTTTGATTTGATTTGCCTGCACAGGAGAAGAGAGAGAAGCAGGTGTGGAACAAGAGACGGCAGATCCTTTACACTGTGGAAAAGGTGAGGGGAATCAACCCAGTACAGGTGTACATATTGTACATAATTACTGTAATCGTTTCTAGACATGTATGTGTGTATATACAGTATGCTTCTTCATTTATATTCTGCTAATTTTTAATAAATGTGTTTTATGATGAGCAATCTGTATGTACTGTGCAGATGTACAGTCTGTTGCTGGAGGTGCAGGACTTTGAGAAAAAGTTCCTGCAGACTCCTGAGGAACAAAGAGAAGCACTGCTGGAGCAGCACAAGACCCACACGCTGCAGCTCTACAACTCTCTCAGAGAGAAAGAGTGGGATGACAGGTAAGGAGAGTGAGTGCAGGAGTAGAGGAGACAAAATGAGTAAAGACAATTAGATGGAGAAATATGTGTAAGAGGAACTGAACTGAGAGACAAACCAAAACGAGACCAGATCAGCTTTAGCTGGTTTATGTAGCCTGTTTGGAACATTGTCTACTACAGTATATAATATAGTCATCTGTGAATGTCAAATAAAGATTTGATGGAAATGGCAAATAATAATTGAGTAAAATTGTGAAACATTTAAAACTTTTACACATTTACACAAACTGTGTGGAAACCTGGCCACTAAGTAGCTGCAGAACACAGTTCCCTCTACATGGGGAGTATAGAAGGACCTTTTTGTACGTTCCTCTATTGTGTCAATCCAGGAACCTAAGCAATTACAATGTGTTCGTTATGTTGATTTTTTTTATTCTTTTTTCTGTGTGTTTATGTGCACAGAGTGAGTGATGAACAGTGTCTGATGATTATGTCGGTGCGTAAAGGGAAACGCCTCATCTCTAGGCTTCTGCCCTTCCTCCCTCCACCACAAGCTGCTACTGTTGTCATGGGAATTGCCCGCAACCTTCCAGCCTTGGCCAAAAAGGACAAGCAAGACCAGGTAGCCATCTCCTCAGGGCACTTTTGACTGACATGATTGAATTTTTATCTTTTGTGTAACTGTGAGGAATTAGTGGTAAATCAACAAAAAAAAATCATTTTGCATTGGAGCTATATGTCTAAGGTGGATATCATCACACACTTGCCTAAAATTGTGTCGAGTTGTTAAGTGATTTCCATTTGATGTAAGAGAGTTTGAGCATGAAGAAGCGAGTGATGATGCACTTGATGTAGTTATTTATGAACAGAGGGAGAACAGAGGAAGATACCTTCCATCTCCTCAAAAGCAATTATCTTGACGGTTCTATGGTTGCGTGTAAGTGCATACCCAATTAGCTATTAGTGTGCCTAGTTTTTACATGTGCTGTTTGCCCTGTCCCTCTTATAGGTCCTTTGCTGGTTGGTGGAGCCAGTTGCAGTTGTCATCCAGTCCATGTCTAGCTCTGCCCTCACTGATCTATTGCAGGAACTACAGGGCAGTGAGGGTCAGTTTCCCAGAGTGCTGCAAAATAAGGTAACTGTGCTCTGCTTCCTGTTTAATTTACATAAAATATTAAATAAAGAAAGACATGTACTTCAAAAAAGATGAGAAACATTAGAAATTAAAACTGCTTGTGTTCTACAAATTAGCTAGACTTAATCGGCTTCGGTTTGGTTTTTGTATATTAACACATTTCCACTTGATCCTCCCAGTTTGGCGTGACTCTACTTTATCTGATACTGAGTGAGGGGGAGAGAATGCAGAGCTCTGATCCCAACTGTGAGCTCATGGACGACAATCGATGGTAAGCATCTAGTTAGCTATGTTAGCCATCATTAAACTACTATTCCTCCTTCTCTCTTTGCATGTGATTTGAAGCAGAACCTCAGTAACTATTTCTAAACCGTTTGTTTTTTGTCTTCTCAACCCAGGACAGAGTTGGTGTTTTCAGTAACGAGGGAGCTGTTGAAGGTCCCCTCGTCCTCCCTCTCTCCTCCTCTCTTCACCCCTCCCAACCTTCTCTCCCTCTTCTCCCGTTATGTGGACAGGCAGAGACTAGAGCAGTTGCAGGAGAAACTTCAGTGAGTTTTCTTACTAACACAGAAACCTTCTTTGTTGCTTACAGTTAAAAGTACAAGTGAACACCTTCATGACACATAACAGTAGGAAGGCATATACTGTTGCAGAAATTTGAGTACATAAACAAAAATACTTTGATAAATTGTGTATAGCTGTGGTCAAGGTTACTAGAAATGCACAGAACATATAAGCAAAGCATTCATAAAGCAACACTGCACATTTAATTATTGTGAATGTTGATACAGTGCTCCTCTGTCCATCCTCTTCAACCACTTCTGTCCTTTTTTATATATATACATATATATAAAAATAAGGAGTAGTTTGTTTGATGTTGATGGGGGGGCGGTCATTAATCTTAACTTTATAACTTCTTGTATTTTTTCCTCTTTCCCCAGGATCTCTGCTTTGTCCAGGTAGAAGTAACTTCACACATTGAGTCGCTGTTGATGAGAGACTGATTGTTAATGTTTGTGTGGGTGTGTACGTGCATACGTGTGCACACAGGTTTGTTTGTGTGTGTGTGGGAGAAGTAATGTTTAGGGCTGATAATGATTTTAATCCAGCAGAAAACTGTCACTTTCTTATTTTTCCCTTGTTATGGATTAGGTGTGTCTGTCAGAGTGTCTGTGTACGTGTGCGCGTGTGCGTGTGCGCGTTAGACGAAGGTTGAAACTGAGAGGAAATTAATCTGCATTTTTAAATATCTTGTTAACATTGATGCCTGTGATAAAACATGAAATTAAAAGTATTTCTTTTGTATAAGACACTCTGATGTGGCATTTCTGTTCTTCTTTATCTGGTAGGATAGGCAGGAGGAACCTGGATTCCATTTATCTCAGGGCCCTCGTGGTTATCTCTAGGTGGAGCGTACAGGTAGCTCACAACAAAGACCACTGTTATTAAGGAACGTAACAGTAACGTGCCTAAGTCAAAGACCGCCCTCCATTTATTTAATTTCTGGTTATAACAGCCATTAACTAGACATTTTTCAAGAGATATTTCTGATAAGATTAGATATATACAGAGAAAATGGGACTCCTAACAATCATGTAAGACCTGGTAGGACAAAAATCAAAGAAGCTGCTAGTGTTCTCAGAGGAATGGACTGACCACTCCAGTGTCCAGACCTTGGCATCATTTAATGTGTTTGGGATTACTTGGATCATGAGAAGTGGGAAGATGCAGACGAGGTGTGAAAAAGTATCCCTACATATGTCTGTTGAAAAGTGAAAGCAAGTCTTCCAAAAAAATTGGAAGCTGTAATAAAGGATATGATTGTACTTATTGTTGCTTCTGTGTAATTGTCTGTTACACAGGGTTTTTTTTCCCTTGACCACTGAACATCCGGTTTGACTGTAAATTAAAGAAATGAATTGTAGTCTGTGACTTTTGCACAGTACTGTTGTTCCTGCAGTTACATCTGGAGCCCATGCAGTTTCTATAATCTGTATTTCTCAAATCAACATGTAGAGACTCCAGATGTTTTTATGCATATCAAAATAGTTAGAATCAAGATTGTACCATGACTGTGAATTCAGTTAGCAAGTTCAGAATTGGAGGCTTATGGTAATCCTCTATCAGGAGTCATGTCAGACATCAGAAACTTGTAAAAGAATTTTGTCAACTCAAGCAGACTATTGTCCAGGTGAGAGCATTACTAAGAAATACATGGTATAAAAAAGAAACGCGTAACCAGATTCAATTCTCAAGATAGCAGACTTATTTAACACAAAGATCAGATCTATTCCTCAGAAGGATCTGAATATGTTGTGATTCTGAAATAACTACTTAATGTAATCTGATACATTTTTCTTTATTATTCATATCCTATAAAAGGTAATCTGACATCTTACTGTATGAACATGCCTTTCAAAAGAAGATCAACGCCACGCTTTGAAATTTGATTCACAAATTTGAGGAGATGGAGGAGAAAGATGCATTTTAATTTAAGTAAAAGTGGAAAAACAAAGAAAAGATGTTCCGCCCGAACAGGGACTTGAACCCTGGACCCTCAGATTAAAAGTCTGATGCTCTACCGACTGAGCTATCCGGGCTCTAGACGGAGATGTGGGCTACCGTTTTTAGAAGAAGAGTGAGACACGGGTAATTTGTAAACATCGCAACAAATCACTAGTTAACGACACTTTATTGGTGTATCCGTCATACGTGGTAGCGGTTTTGGTCACTGGAAGAAAACGGGGGCGAATTTAGTCCTTTCTGCGAATTTTTCGGTCCACCTTAAGAGGAAACCGCAGTAGCAAAATTTCGCCGGTAGATGGCAATATTTACTTACTTATGAAAAAAGAAACACAGCATACAGGTCTATCTGCAGATGGTGAAACAGTCAGTTGAATCTGACCATAAGGTCTGATACACAGAGTAGTCATAAGTAAGTGCTACAGCAAATTTTACTATGATTCAGGATTATAATACTAGTTTTTATATGCTTAATATAAGAATCACTTCAGTGGATTTAGTTCCGACTGTAAGACTTTTAGGTAATTTGGGATAGGACTTCAGCCTATGAGCACAAAGGGCAATAAGTCTTTTTGTGTGCCACTTGACTCATATTCTTCTGCTCCTCTTTCCACGGTACGCTAATGACCTCACCTCCAGAGACCCCCTGAAGTTTGCAGATGACACTATAGACATTGGTCCAAGATAATGATGAGACTGCTTATAGCTTGTCCTCTGGACCCTGCTAACCCTCACCATCCATGACAAGACTGTGATGTCATTGTTCCTGGGATTAGTCACCAGTGACCAGGAGTGAGTAAAGGCTGATTTTGATTCCAGGTCATGTTTGGGTGGTCTGTTATGCGTTTCTGCATGTTGGCATTAGATCAATGAAAGTGTTTGATAATCCAGAGCTCTGTCTACAGAAAATGCTCATAAAATGCATTAGCCTTAGGGCAAAAGGCTGATATTCAGAAGGCCACAGTGATGGAATGCCACTATGTGTGTCTACTCTCCAGGAATATAATATAGTATTTTATGTCAGACCTCAGTGTCAGATTAAACAGACTTTTCAATCATCTACAGACAGCCCTTCTCATATGCCATGCTTACAGTCATGCTTTTGGTGGTCTGTTGGATGTGTTCTCATAATCTGGTGTCAGGATGTCTATAGGTTTACACTAGAGGTGCTTGTATGAGTTAATAAGTGTTGCCCTCTACCGGCGAAATGTCGCTACTGCGGTAGTGTTTTAAGGTGGACCGAAAACACTAACAATAACAACTAAATCAATTTAAGCACGGAAATGATTATTGATATATTTTAAAGGCTTAACTCAGACTGAAAGTATTCAGTGTCCTTTTACATGGAGGCGGTTTAGTTGTCTAGTACAGACATGACGTTATGCAAATGCAATATTTCATAGACGCAGTTCTTCGGGTGATCAACAGGTGGCTCCGTGGCGCAATGGATAGCGCATTGGACTTCTAGTCAAGCACTTGAGATGTGATTCAAAGGTTGTGGGTTCGAGTCCCACCGGAGTCGCACTTTTTATGCAATTTTGCATCACAAACTTAATGGTCAGTCCCGCTGCACTTTCTGCGCAGAATCAAACATGTCAATAAACATGTGGAACAGCACATGCAGTAATTTATGCTAGAATAACCTTCTCAACTCAACAGTTAAATCAGTATATATGAACGATGAATCACATAGATAAACAAAACTATAGATAGGATAGAAGAATAGATAAAACCAATTTAACTAAAATATATACATATAATCTTACACAATAACTTAAAAATAATAATATTGCACCGAGACATATAATATTGCACTGGGAATGTAGGGTGGGTGTAATCAACTATATACTATATATAGTAATGGATATTACAATGCTATGTGGATGTGCAAATAATCACGCTAGGTGTGGAGGTAGAAGATGGTACAGTAGGTGGCAGAGTATTTAGTAAAGTGCAAGGTACAGGAAGTTAAGTGGAAGCGCAGGGGGAGAGTATTGTCTTTGGATAGGTATTCAAAGTCCAGCTATGCAAGTAAGTGCGGGAGTACAGTGGGTGCACGTACGTGTAATGGGAAGGGTTGGGCTGGGCAGAGCAGTGATTACTGGCTGTTCAATAGCCTGGTTGCATGGGGGAAGAAGCTGTCTTTGAGCCGACTGGTTCTGGCTTTTAAGCTTCTGAGCCTCCTACCACTCGGCAGCTGAGAGAACAGACAGTGACTAGGATGGGAGGGGTCCTTCATAATCCTTCTGGATTTCCTCAGGCAGCGACTGGTGTATAAATCCAATAGGTTAGGGAGCTGAACCCCGGTGATGGACTGTGCTGTCCGCACCACCTTCTGCAGAGATTTCCTCTCACGAACAGTACAGTTCCCGTACCAGGTGGTGATGCTGCCCGTCAGGATGCTTTCCACAGTGCAGGTGTAGAAGGTCTTAAGGATGCTGGGGTTCAGGCCAAACCTCCTCAGCCTTCTGAGGAAGTAGAGGCGCTGGTGGGCCTTCTTCACCACCTGTGAGGTGTGCACTGCCCATGTCAGGTCCTCGCTGATGTGAACACCGAGAAACTTAAAGCTACTGACCCTCACTACCGCAGTCCCATTGATGGAAATCGATGGGTGTACTCTCTCCTGCTTCCTGAAGTCCACGATCAGCTCCTTGGTCTTACTGACGTTTAGAGAGAGGTTATTCTCCTGGCACCAGTTTTCCAGGATTTTAACCTCCTCTCTGTAGGCCGATTCATCGTTGTTGGAGATCAGGCCCACAACTGTTGTGTCGTCAGCAAACTTTATGATGACGTTGGAGCTGTGTCTAGCAGTGCAGTCATGGGTGTACAGGGAGTACAGGAGCGGGCTGAGCACACAACCCTGGGGGGGCTCCGATGTTGAGGGTCAAAGAGGAGGATGTGATACTTCCCATCCTTACCACCTGCCGTCGGTCCGTCAGGAAGTTCAGGATCCAGCTGCACAGTGTGCTGTTCAGACCCAGATCCCGGAGCTTGCAGTCGAGCCTCGAAGGAACGATTGTGTTGAATGCTGAACTGTAGTCTACAAACAGCATTCTCACATACGTGTCCTTCTTTTCCAGGTGGGAGAGGGCAGTGTGCAGGGTGCAGGGTAGTGTGCAGGGTCAGGGCGATAAATATATATATATATATATATATATATATATATATATATATATATATATGATTATGGTAAGATAGTGGATAGTCTAATAATAATTTCCACCACAATGTCTGCATAATTCGGTGGTTGAGATGTAAAGAGAGTCATTCAGAGTGGTTTGACGTGAAATGGTTCATTATAGAGAAATTTACTGACTCAGATTTCTTTACAGTGGTGGTGATAGGAACCAGGGGTGAGATCACAAATACAGCTGAAATACAGCCATTTTATTTACTATCCAAAGCCACCAGTGAACCTACATGAGTCTTCTGAGTTTTTTACATGGAACGTTTATGATGGTAAAATAGTCATAAATCTGAAACGATATGTTTTCTTTGGTGACTATTTCAGAACAACACCATAGTGAGAGTCACTTTCTTTGACTTCTCAAGTGCATTCAATACCATCCAACCTCTCAGGCTGGGGGAGAAGATGGAGAAAATGCAGGTGGACAAGTCCATAATCACATGGGTCTTGGACTGCCTGTCTAGAAGAACCCATTTTATGCGGTTGGGAACCTGCCTGTCAGACCATCTGCTCAGCAGCATTGGAGCACCTCACGGAACTGTGCTCTCCTCCTTCCTCTTCACCCTGTACACGACAGACTTCTAATACAGATCGGACCACTG